GAGTCAAGCCACTTCCAACAGGTTCTCAACAAAGGAAAACATGAAGATCCATTCAGAGAAAATGGGCACTAATACACTGAGTTACTCGTCACCTTGCAATGGGGGAGACCAAATTACGTTATTAACCTAATAAGCCACCTATTAGCCCATCAAGATGGGTCTTGTGCAACTGAAATGCCTGTCTGTCACGTGAAACAAATCAGACCCTGTTGAATGGCTTCAGTATTCAATTTTAGGATTCTAAGTTTGTTGCTGCTTGACCTCCAGAGAAAAAGCTGGACTCCAGGGTGAGCTGGCAGCCAGCCTCAGACACATCATGTCTGTTTCAAGTTGCAGGTTAGGAAGAGGCCTATGTTTTGCCTGTGAGAAGGAAATCTACAGAGCCCAGCTCATTGAGGAAACTAAGACTGAATGCTGACCTCCAGGAAGTTGTAACTCGTGACCTGATTTTTTTTTAATATCACTTGATTTACCAGAACTTGTAATGCATAACCTACCTCCTCCCCTATCCTGTCTTCCTTAATTTCCCAAATTCTTGTATGCGTGCATGGAGTAGGAAAGTAATTCCCTCATATTTTGAATATTTTGTTAATTAACTGTATTTTTGATTTCACGCGAAAAGGTTTTGCCATGGTTGATTGAAAAAAGTTGAAATTTGGAAATTAGCATTTGGGAACACTCTTTGGCTTTCATCAGTAAGGAGTGGCATTAAAAAGGGGCAAAAGAAAATTAAGCAAAATATTGCTGTGTTGGGCATAAGGGGGAGAAGCAAATTAAGTATACCCCATTTCCCCTTCTTCCTGACAGGTATGAGAGGAGAATGATGAATGTTAATTGAATAAGTAGACCAAGGACTTGATGGCCTGCACCCTAGGTTTCTATTAGAACTACAGAGATAGTGGATATTGCTAGCTTTGACTTTTCAAAATTCTTTAAATTTGGGAATGGTCCTTTTAGATTGGATATTGACTAATGTTTGCACCAGTTTTAGAGAAAAGAGGGAGAAAGTAAACAGCAAACCACAAACAGTTAACCTTACATCAGTAGTTGGGAAAATGTTGAATGTAAGGAAGTCTTAACAGTGCTTCTAGAAAATATTAGCATGATTAGAATAAGTTCTGTTTGACAAATTGTTTGGAGTTTATTAAGAATACGCTGCTAGTAATTAAAGGGAAACAAATAAATATGATAAAAATCGAAAGAACTGTGGAAGCTGTAAATCGGGAACAAAAACAGAAACTGCTGGGAAAACTCAGCAGGTCTGGCAGCATCTGTGAGAGAAATCAGAGTTAACATTTTGGGTTGAATGACCCTTCTTCAGTTATACTTGTAATATACTTGGAATTGCAAAAGGTATTTGATAAGGCATTGCACAAATGTGTAAAGACCACATGTTTACATTTGTCTTTGTTTTGGATTGCAAACCCATATGGAAAAAAGACTGCTTTAAATCCAAGGATGGTGGAAGGAAGTGTTGCACTTTTAAAAGCAAATTATAGGAGCCTGTTGTGAGCTGTTTTGTTCAAGCAGTGGGAGAAGATATCCAAGACATCATGGATGTTTACACAGAACAGACTTTACTCCGAGGCAGGCACCTGGTTAATTTTTCCAGTTAGGACCACTTGTGAAGCCAGGGCTCATCAGTGTAACAGCAACTCTCTGATCGGTACCTGGGCAAGTTGACAGTGCATAAAAATAATACAGAGGCAGAAAGTCTCCAGACTGCAAAAGGCAGTATCTTCTTTTTTTCCTCTCTGCGGTGAGGTAGCTAAGAACAAAAGATAATTAATCTCTCCCACTATTTGCTAATACTGTTGCCTCTAACAGTGAAAGACTAAACAATTAATGTTTCAACTGCTTCGTGTCTTTGGCAAAGAACTAACAAGATCTGGAAATAAAGGGATCATAAGGGAATGGAAAAAGCACAATGGACCCCTCATCAAATTCTGCGAACTTGTGCTTCGAACTGTTTTTTCTGGTCTTTTTACCTTCATCTTTAATGTCCATGTTTGCTTAAATTAAAATGGAAAATGCTGGAGAAAAGTAGCAGATCTGATACCACCTGTGGAAAGAGAACCAAGTTAATGTTTCGTTCTCCATAAATGCTGCATTTCTCCAGAATTTGCAGTTTTCATTTCAGATGTCCAGCATCTGCAGAATGTTTTATTGTGTCTGTATCTGTCTGTATGTGTATAGGTATTTAGGAAGGGGGCTGAGTTAAAAATTGACAATTCATAATTGTTTTCCTGTGGCTCAAACTGATTTCTTTTTGTAATAAGTGGTAGTTTCTTGTGAAGTACAGACACCCGGTCAATATTTTCAGTTAACCTGAATCCATCAGTTAGGTTATATCATGGACCAGACCAACCCCTTCAAAATATTTTAAGAGGGTAGTCCAGACCCCAGCTTTTTCTTACTTTCAAAGGTAAATGTAAAGTGGCTGTTCCAGATGCAATATAATGACTGGTCAAACTACTTGATGTTGAGCAAAACAATTTATTTAAACACTGTAATTAAAATATAATGAAAGAAGGAGGAATTTAGAGTAACTTAACTATTGGAAAACTTAACAGAATAATAGATACAGTAACTTATTAACTAACTTGTTCTATGTAGTAACATCCCATAAACACACCCCTTGGCAAAAAGGAAAATTCAGACACAGATTCTCACATGCAGTTCTCTAATCCAGGAGGAAAAAACATCAAGGGAAAATTCAGAGAGGGTAGCAGCCAGGAGACAACTACTGAAGCCTCCTACTCTGTTTGTTCCCCAACATCATCTGATGCTACTGAAAAACCAAAATCCAGAAATCCTGATCTGAGAGCTGGGCACACTAATTCGGGCTGAAAAACCTCCCAAGTTGTTTATTCAAGTGGTCTTGACTAGCCAGCTCGGCAGCTCTTGCTCAAATCTCTCTCTTGAAAGAAACCAGGACAAAACAACCTCTTAAAGTCACCGCATCATCACAGTAAACTGGAGAACTTTGTGTAATTTGATCACATCTTTAACTTTTGTGATGACCTACGGTGTTGCAGGGCTCGGGTATCAGCGAAATGTGGGTCCTAGCAAAAGATTACATCGAAAATTAAGGGCTCATGGAAGTAAGAGTAATATATAAGCATTGATAGAGGATTAGTTAATGGACAAGGAGTAGAGGGTGGCCAACTTTTAAAGTGGCAGGCAGTAAATAGTGGAGTTCCTCCAAATCATTAGGGCATCAGCATTTTACAATCTATATTCATATTTAGAAGAAGACCCTGAGAGCAATCTATCTAAATTTGTTGATGATGCAAATAGCTTCAAAGGTAAGCCATGAGTTCACAAAAACGCTGTAAAAAGATAGAGAGAGGTTAAGTGAGTGGACAAGTGTGGCAGATGGACCATAATGTAGGGAAGCATGAAGTAATTCACTTTAGTTATAAGAAGAGAAAAGAATGCAGTTTAAAAAGCATGAAAATTGTAAGTGTTGATGTTTGAAGAGACTTAGGTGTGCTCATACAAGGGGCACAGAAAATGCATAGAATGTATGTGAAACCAGCAATCTGGAAGACAAGTAATAAATTGGCCTTCAATTGTAATTCAGGAATAAAGAAGTCTTGTTGCACAGGTTTTGGCGAGATGATATTTGGATTATGTGTGCAATGTTGATCTTCACACTTAAGAAGTTTTGAAAGTAGCATAGCAAAGATTCATTAATTTGCTCTCAGGGATGAGGGGATTGTCCTAAGAGAGGCTAACCAAATTCAGTCAATATTCTGCAGATTATAACATTGAGAATTGATCTCATTGTAACATATAAAACTCTCAAGTAGTTAAAGTAGATGCTGAAAAAAATTTTCCACTGGTTGTGCTGTTAAATTTTATATTCACCAATTTCCGGATAAAAGATGGATATTTTCAATTGGAGATGAGGAAAGATTATATTGCTCAAAAGGTTGGGAGTCTCTTAAATTCTCTAACCCAGATGGTTGTGGATACTTTTATGAAGTACTTTTAAGGCTGAGATAGAAAGATTTTTGATTTCTTTGGGAATCAAGGGAAATAGAAAGTGAGCAGGAAGACAGAGTTGAAGTCCAAAATCAGCCATGTTCAATGTGGTATGATGCAACAAGCTCAGTGGGCCATTTGGTCTATTCTCCTATTTCTTGTGTTTTTATATATTATGAGTTTTAAAATTTTGCCTGCAAATTCTGGTTTGACTCTGCAGTTATCCAAATTTAAATAGAGGCTCCAACACACTATTCTTCATTTAAGTAGATGTTTTTCATTGTACTGTACTGAATAGTGTTGTGAAGGTATTTGGCAACAAAGGAATTAGGCAAACTTGTTTAATTCTGTGTTTTTAACAGACTTTCCTGTAGAAACTAAAATAGGTGGACAGGAATAGTAAAGTGTTGCCAATTTTGCACCTGGTGAGATAAGTGCATGTAAATCCAGAATAAAAGAAAAATAAACTTGTACACCTACATTGCTACACAAGAGCTGGTTAAAACACTAAGTCAATCTTCTGCAAATTTCTTCAATACAGATATATATTCCACACCTCCCACCTGCATTGCAAAAAATGTATGATCAGTATCAACTTGCAAAGTATATACTACCCAAATTTACCTTTTGTATGTTTAAATAGGCAAATCCAAGAGGTTGTTGATTTGCTAGTGCAATGGCTTATGCAGGTTTTTAAACATAAGAGCAACATCTTTGGATGGTAAAGCAGTTATCGCTATCATAGCAGCTTTAAAGGTTGTGTTAACTGGTATTTTGTGTACATAACTAAAATGCTAGTCTAACAATAAAGTGCTACTTTGGCATTGCTAGTGCTTCTGCAAATGACAAACTGGTACACACAATACACAAGGTAAATATTGTGCATTTTAATTTGCATAGCATCTGGTTTAAAAAAAAGCCTTTCACTCTGAAATCGTTATTTTGTGTATGTATTTAAAAACTTAGATTTGTTGAAATATACCAATAATTTGTGTTTTTGTTTTTTACAGTATGGATGGTGCAGACCTCTGTTTTGAAATTGTGAAAAGAGCAGATGCAGGTTTTGTTTACAGTGAAGCTGTGGCCAGGTATGTACCTGATCATTTTGTAGCATTCTAGTCTTTAGATGAATTCTATGGTTAGGATAAATTCATTTTTTGTTAAAGTAATGGTGTAACGTGTTGGTGCACCAATGTGTTGTACAACAAAGTGGCAGATGACTGGTTCGTATTCTTATCTACGTGTGTGATTTTTTTTCTCTCTGCATAGCAAAATCTTGGCTAAGAATTTCCCTCATTGTGCAAGAGGTACCCTTCTTCCTTGGTCATTATTAGTCACAGAAAGAATTAACTTATCACAGTGAAGCAAGAGCAGGAGATAAAGGAACAAGGGGGCTAATGAGATAAATAGAGAGAAAGTGACTTATCCTAGTTAGCCATTATGCACTTGTTGCTGGGTACTTGAGGATTAGCTTCAGAATACATGTTGTGCTCATTAGTCTACTGTTTTGGGAGGGACATGCCACAAAGACCGGAATAAATGAAAATTAAGAAGTTAATTTTGATAATTCACATGGATACTTTTTTGTCTGAACTAGTAGTAGTTATGTACTAGCTTCTGAAAGATTGATATGCAGTTCAACATTGTATAGAATATTTGGTGATGTGATTTTTGCCTTGCGCAGTTTTTTTTTTTAACCCAATGTGACAATACATAAGTCATTGGAACATAAGTTGGGCATGGGTATTGTGATATTGAAGGTATATTACAGGTAATTATTATATACAAACATTACATTCACAGGCACATAATTGTCTGGGCTAATGTTAAATTACAACATTTTGTAGTGTAGCTTGCTTCCAAAGTTGTGTCAGGCTTTGTGATCCTAGGTAAGTGTAAGACTTCTATACTCTAGGGTCACATGCTGTGATATTATGAGCATTTCCCTTAAAGGTGTAATGACATACTGACCAAGAGATATAACACAAGTTTCCCACTTTCTACAAAGACTTTTTAAAAATCCCAAATAGAGATATGTGGTGGTGTACAGGGAATTTGATCATCATACAAACTGGTATAAAGCAGAGTGTTTCAAGACTGAGTTCAAACTTCAGTGTAACGTTTTGGACATTTTGCAATTAGCCCTAATCTGCAAGTTGTATACCTGTCCGGAGAAGTATCATTTTTCTCTGTTGCACTTGTTTGATAACTTAGTTGCCACTGGTTGCTGTCACTCAATATCACCACACAATCATCATCATCAAAAAGTTCTTTCGAACTCTCTTTATGCAGGATTAGTGTGCCATACATCAATGTGAGCTGGATTCTGTTCCTTCACGATATAGCAGTGTGATCAATAATTACTTTGTATATTGTAGAAACTTTTGCTGGAATTCAAGTATTGGCATTTCTAATTTGCACTCTGCCAATTGTGCAGCTTTGGAAGTTCTCTACCTGCTCATTCATCATGTATCTTTTTCATTCCTCTCTTGTCTTAAAGAAGGATGTTCTATGTCTTGGAATTGTTGTCGGTTGGGAGCTGAGAAAGATTATTTGCACTTGGCCTCCAAGCATAAGTTTCGCTGGAGATAGTAATCCTCCTTCATTCTGTTGCTCAAAAATGCAGCAATGCAACAAAAATGTTGCTTTGTTGCACACTACTTAATGATCATGAATTTGATTGTGTACCATACTTTCTGTGAGACAGTTTAAGTGAGTAGTAGGGAGACAATGTAGTATGGGTTTCTCCCCACTTAGTACACATCTTGAAATGGTTTGCCCGTATCATATGTGTTGTCAACCACTATCCATTCCAGGAAACCAAATAAATTGAAAATGGCAGTCCTCATGTCAGCAATGGTCATTCTCGTCATGTTGCTGAGTTGCCAAACAGTGGGAAACTTGGAGAAACAAACTGTCACAGAGATTATCCCTGCCATGAACTGTGAATAGGTCCACTAGTACTTTTATCCAAATGTGGATGGAGCATTGCATGGGTGTAGAGTCTCCTGCTGCTGGGCTTGATATGTTTACCATGCATTCACAAGTTGTTCAATATCCTGATTTGT